TTTTAGTAAGGTAAAAGTATAGATAAAACCAAGGATAATTGTACCAAATCTTAAAATAGATTCTTGAAAAAATACAAATACACAAGAAATAGAAAGGGGAAAAAACACTGTATTTTTACTTGCTTTTCCTGTTCTAAGGTCTTGGCCTCAAATTATAGGTGAAATTATTGGCTCTCCTAGGCTGGTCTATAGTAGCATTCTATTATAGGTGTCTTTTTTCTAGACCATGATGGAATCTTGAACCTTAATTAGTCTCATTCTTCACCTTTGATAAACACAATATTAAAAAAAAAATGAAAACGTATTTCTAAGATACAGTCTAAACTCACTGAACTACCTTACAAAAGTCTTGCTAGATAAGATCAGTATTTTTTTTTTCTTAACCTTCACTAGTTTCAGCAATTGGGAGGCAAATGAAGCTGAAGAAGTATGGAACCGTAAATGGCAGCCTATTTATAGGCTTTTCTCCCAGGGGCCCTGGAACAAGAGCGCCCCTTTTCTAGAACTCTACTTGAAAGTAGAGTACAGGGAGAAAGCTACTTTGTGGTTGCCCGAAAGGCCAAAAAAGTAATATCTCTTCTTGCAAATTTGTGAAAAGCATCATGTTGTATAAGAAGAATGTTATTTGGGGAACACAGCTAATAGGTTTGGGGAGTTCAGTTAATAGTTTTGGCATTTACAAGGCTAAAGTATTCAACATAGTTAACCTTAATGTATTCGTTCTTGAAAATATATGTGATGTGTGTGTGTTTAAAGCTTTCTTCTAGAAAATTAAATATGAAAAAGAATGCAAGGTTGATTCAATATAGGTTTCATTCTATATAGGTTTACATAGTATATTATTTTAGCTATGTTAAATTCAGAAAAGGCAAAATATATAGCTTAAAAAAACAGAAGATTATCAGGAGTTAAATGTGAAAGGAGAGCCTGTATTTTTTTTTCTGATTCTTGAGCTTTTGGAATGAAATTTCAATCTTAAAATTTCAAAGACAGATGTAGAAATTGCCAGCACTTGGCTCAACAAGGAGAAATCCATAAGTAGGAAGGGCAGCAGGTGGCAAGAAGTAGGACGTTCTATGGTTACAAATGTTCATGTCAGACTAAAAATATAAAACAGGTTGTGCTCCGATTCAGTACTGATGATACTAGTCATTCTTCTGTTTGGTTTCAGATTCTGCACATCAACGAAATTGCTTCTAGTTATTTGTTTTACCAATAACAGAGTAGTGTTAGATTGAACCAGATTTTTAGTTTTCAAACTGCTAGGGTAGACTATAAGATCTAGTGGGAGTCCTCAGTCTCCCCTCCACCAGAATAGGGTATAATCCAGGTTTCCTTCCTGGGTCCATGTACTTCCACCAAAATCCAAATGCCATGTTTGAGCTCTTCATAGCGGAACAGCCTGTGCTCTTGGAAATAGTATAAACATTGTGACTTTGCAGCTTATCAGAAGAATTATAGAACTTGAAGTATCATATCCTAATCAAAATTCAAGATTTATTTTCACTGAGAATTGTCTTTTGTGAGGCAGGGAAGGATAATAAGGATTTTCATTTATTGCTTTACCCACCTTGCATCATTTGATGCAAGAAGCATCAACATAGTTTTCATAATAACAACTCCAAATTTTTTGAAGGTTTAATTTTCATGGCTTTGTCTAAAATATTTAGGACCAGGGAGATGGTAATGCTTTTATTAGGTTTTCAGAGTCACAAATGTGTACTTTATTTTCATGTGAATTTGAACTTGTAGTGAAAAACTATTACTGAAATTTCCTTGTTTTTAGTTATCGGCAGATAAGGGACAACTCTTGAATCAAAATACTGAAAGTACATGGCCCTTAGTGGAGTGCTTAAACAGGTATTTTGTGTCGCAGCCAACCACTGTAAGAATAAGTAAAGGAACATACATGTCAGGCATACACTATGGAGTGAACTGTCAGCTATCAGAATTCATTCATTGATCTCTACTTTGTAATCCCACCAAGATCATTGTCAGTCTTTATCTCAAGAAGTGTACTACCCACATCAGCTTGAAGGAGACCTATGGTACATTAAGTAGAGGATAATGTTAAGATTTCAGAAGCTACCTGAGGTTATTTTAAAAGGGTATCTATCCATGCTTATTTGTGATACTGGTCTCAACAAGATTATCTCATCAGCACAAGACTGGGCTCCAGTAATTACCAAATAGAATTAGATGTTATATGGAAAAAAGAATGTTTATGACCCTATTAGATGCTTTAACTAGCCATCAGTTCAGGATGAAGATGTGGTCCCATTTGTTCATCTCCATTAGAATCATTGTCAGTTTTACATGAAATTTCCTTAATTTATTAATTAATATTGTATTGGTAGAGAATTGCTTCCATCTTTGTATTTTGATCTTTGACAATGTATCGGGAATCTACTAACTCACAGTTTAGCTCTGTGCAAGTATATCTCTTGTTCAAAAGACTAAATATCTTTTGAACTCCAAGACCTCTTTCCTTCAAGTACTTATCAGGAACTCCCTCAAATATCCTGTAATCTTGTTGAACTGGAGGCAGTCCTTGACCCTGGATACCAAGACCCAAACTAAAAGATGAATTTCTTTGTAGTGTTTTGTAGCCTTGTGATACACAAACACCTAGTGATATAAGCTACTTATTATTTATTGTTACGAATTCCAAAAGCTTTACTTTTTCTCGTCCACATATGCAATATTAATAGATATCAAACACTATTTGTGGGTTACAAGAAAAACAATAATATAATTTTAGAAATAGAACAGTCAATTTTATGGAGAGTGCTCCTAACTGTATGCATAATTCTTTGAAAACAATTTATTGAACCCAAGAATTATAACAAAATAAAAATGTTAGTGAAGGAATTGCCTCAAAGGAAAAGTATTCACAGATTGTCTTCACAGACAAGACATTCATGGTGCTACCACCTGGGTTAGAAGTTCCTGTTGGGTGGCTTTATAATGTCTCGTGTATGTTATTATTTTGCTTTTAATATCAAGATGCTTCATGTGTTGATTTTGCAGTGAATGAGCACTATTTTATATCCAATACTGACTTAAAGCCTGGCACAGAAAAAGAACTGGATTGTTTGAATTATTAAATGAATTGTGTAAAACTGAATGAATAAAAATTAGTTTTTAAAATAATAGCTGACACTATTTTTCCATTACACCTAGTGAGATATATATTGTTCATATTGACTTTTTATAGGTCAGCACAATAAATACATTTTGATAGACGATGGGTAGACATTTCTTTTCAGTATGTTCCAAGCAGCATAAATTTATTTTTTATCAAACTGTATTCCATACCTTATTAATATTGCAGATATAGAATTATTATAATAGCTTATAGGATTTGCTGTAGCTCGGTGTTTTCCACATTCAGAATCTCTGCTAAAATTTATGTGATATTTATATCAAGAGAAACCATGGTAATGAACTCTCCAGGATTAGGGCTTAGGAGAATTCAAGGGGCATTTTGAGAAGATCTTGAGGTTTGGAATCCAATAACTATAATTTTAACTTCAATTCTGCAATTTCTAGATTCATGACCTTCAGTAGGTAAATTTTTTAACCTCTTCTAGTTTCATTCTCTGTCAAAGGTGGGCATTGCTTAAAAAACATTTTATGAATTTTAGCAAATGCAAGAAAAGACTAAAACATAAATTTATGAAAAATAAAGTACAAACATACATGAACATAAATAAATAACTCACTTCTCAAATGTTAATACTCTTCAGTAATAGCTACTCTATATCTTTGTCTACATAGAAAACAGATTTTTTTTTTCAGTTCTATAAATACATTACCATTGTCCTGCCCAGTGGCATCCACATTTTTTTTTCTTTGCTTAAAGGTGTCTCCTACACACACAAACCATCAACACAAACACGTAAATATCTTTCTGCAACATTAGATGTCTTTTCATATTGTTGGCCTAACATGCCATTTCTCTAGGAAACTATATTCGTGCCATTTTATTATTCCTCTGTATCTTATTTTCATAGATTTTTCAGACCGTTTATGAATATAAACATACTTACCTTGTTTGCTCAATATTTAACTCTCAAATAGAAGTCTCACGAGGGCAGAAATTATATGTCTGCACTTAACTACTGTATACCTGATCTCAGCAATTGTCTTCAGAGAGCAAAACTCCATAATTACCAGTTGAATGAGTAGGTGAACACAGGAATGATCATTAAGCATTTTTTTTTAAGATTTATTGATTTATGCATGCAGAACTTGGTATAGGCCAGAGGTGCAATGGTGGTGAGAGGATTCACCAGAGACAGAGTAGGGGGCAGAACAGGCCGACTGATGACGTACACTGCTGAGGGGAGCAGTGGGAAGGTCAGGAGAAGTCTGCCGCGCCATGTGAGTCACCTCCAGTGTGGGGGATCCAACTTTGCAATGTAGGGGCTGCAGCTAGCTTGCAGTGCTGTGTCCTAACCTGTTGCACCACCAGGGAGGCCCCTAAGTATGTTTTCTTAAATGTACAAAAATATGCATTAAGTCCATTTAATTGTCTCCCCCATTGCCCTCCCATTCATTTAAGGGAGGGCAAGAATAATAAGGAAGGGCTCTGTTGAGTAACTAATTTAATTCTATGCGTAAATTATTTTATTTATTTAACTAACTTGAAAGCCTAAATGGTTAGATTGACCCAAAGACAATTCAAACCATCGTTCTCCTAAATGATCTTAAATATCAGTGTCTCTTTTTTAAAAATTCTGTTTGTTTTTCTTTTTAATCTTCAAAGCTTTAGAAATGGTGAAAATTCTAACAGGAAGAGGATTTCTCAAAACTTTGTCACAAGATTCTCAATCACATCCCCTGACCATATGTAAATAAAAACAAAATTAATTCTAAATCCTAGATGGTATTTGTCAAGAGTAATTTCCTGAAACAGTTATGGCAAAAATTAAATATTGTGTTGATTTCTGCTAATTATTTCTTAATCATTAAAATTTGCCATTTTGTTTTTACAGGTATGAATATAAGCAAGAGTGAGATAGCCAAAGAAACTTCATTAAAACCATCTCGAAGATCCCTGCCTTGCCTCACCCAGAGCTATGCTTACTCAAAGAGCTTGAGCCAGTCTGCCTCACTCTTCCAGTCAATTGAGAGTGAATCTCAGGCTCCCACTTCTGTAACCTCTATTTCTGCTGACAAAACAGAACAAGGTGAGCAGTTCTTCCTCTTTTTTTTCTTCAACTTACAAAGACTTTTCAAACCATTTACTTCCTTTATTTTACTAGTAATCATGGAGTTCGACAAGAAAGAGATTGTTATATAGAAAAAGTCTCCTTTCAACCCAAATGAAAAGTTACTTGTGAGACAGATGTTTTTGCCTCGGAGGTGGCCAGTTTAAGAACCTAGACATAATGCTTGCTTGTTTGCAATGGAAAACAGACAAGTTACCTGAATGCTGGCTTATTATTATTTTTGGAGAGAATGTGTAACCAATTATTGAGTAGACTATGTCAGAAATAATAAATTTCTGTTTTCTAAACTCAAAGGTGAAACCTGTAAGTACTATAGACAGTAAAGCAATAAATATTTGACAGCACAGACATGTGGTTGAACAAAAAGTGAACCAAACATTGGCGCTTATTAACACAGGACTGAAATATAGGGAGGAGCTGGTTAGATGCCACTTTGGAGAGACTCTGTAGGTGTCCTTAGGCCTCTGGTATACTTGTCTGTCTATCTGAGACATATCCTTATGCCTTTTGATAATTATCCCTTTTGATAATCCCTTTTCATAATAGTTAGGATTCAAAATAAGGACAGCTCCTTTGTCATGTTGTAGATGGGTATGCTTTTATTTTCCTCTCCTCCTAAGAAGCATTTTTGCTTATGAGAATAGCTGTCTTCCTCTAGATCATGAAGATACCCAGATTCTATTTTCAATAATATTGTGCAGTCATTGTCTATTGTAACTAGTTAGTGTACAATGATGTCCAATAAGGAAATTGGCTAACTATTTAAGAGACTGAAAGTAGTAATGTATAGTATAGATGAATTATTCATTGAATGGAATTTTAAGTTACTAATTTCAGCTCATTAAATTAAAAAAGCTCTTCATGTTTGGTCTAAATTTGCACATCAGTCACCAAGTTTGTTTTATCTGTTGCCTCATTTTTCCCCAATATGTGAAATGTGTCATTTATTTGCTTATTTATTTTCTAGCTAACACCAAGGAGAATAAAAATGATTCTGTGCTCAAATGTTCTTTTGCTGATCTCAGTGATTTTTGCTTGGGTAAGCTGACTTCTATTGTTCCTTCCTCCTTTTCTCTTTTCCAACGGTAAATTGTCTTCAAACCAAGAACATTATTTTTTTAAGAAAAAATTTCATGGTTTAATCTTTAAAATGTAGTAAGTGAATATAATAGAGGTTGAAAATTATTAAGGTATTTTGTTTATAGCTTGAAATAATGAGCAATAATGTTAGTGAAAAAAATTAACAATCTCTGCTGTTAACCTTCTGGAAATTTCTCTTAATTTTCTATGAATAAATACAATTACATAACTATGCTAAGATGTCTCAGATTTTAACATTACCTATTTATGTCCTGTTGTGATAGATGAAGATTTAGCTCATTTATATAGCCTTTCAATTTTTCAGTTTCATTGCCATTTTAAATTTTAAACCCCTCTGTTGATTAAGTTTTGCAACTTTATGTCATATTCTGTCATATTTCAGCAGTATTCCCATTCTTCACGTGACAAATTTATCATAGCTATGAAAATAATGCTCTCTGCAGGCATAGTTAGCATTTACCACTTCCTGATCTACAGTTCTACATTGCTTTGGCCTCTATTGAATTCTCAGATATTCCTAGAGTCAAGGTAAAATGATTCCTCCTCCAGTCTTCAAAGTTATACCTCTTTATGCTTACTTCAATGTTTGTACTACAAACTTCTATTTACTTTCTGAGGTTATCCTATTTTCTTAAAAACAGCCCTCCTTCTAAATTTGCCCATTATGTTCCAGTTTCTTGATTTTATATGCCTTATCTTATTCTCATACTATAAGAAAATCTTGGTGACTTTTCATTCATTATTCTAGCTTTTTAAGTCATCTTTCTTAGCTTGCATCCTTATTTTTTCCAGAGCTCATCTGTAAGCACCTATCTCTGAAGGTTGACGTAATCTGTAAACTTTATAGCTGCTGTGTATCTGAAATTACTCCAGTTCACTCACATTTGACTTATATTTACTTGGTTATAATACCTATTTTACAAAAATTCCCGTCAAACTTTGAAATTTGGAGACTTATTCACTATCATTTAGCACTTGTTGCCACCGTCAGAAGCCCAATTTCTGTCTAGTTCCTGTTCCTTTGTAACTGAGGTTTTCTTCAATATATACATTTTTATTATCCACTATTTGTGTTTAATGTTATTAAGTAGACTGTGTATTTTTATTTATCCCATTCTAGACACAGTTTGCCCTTTCAGTTTGCTTTATGCCTCCTTTCCACTTCTATTTCATTTTTCCCACAATGTATGCAGTTTTGTTACTTTCTTCTTTTTATGAATATCCACTTGAAAAGTTTGACTTTTTCTTTTATCTTATGATTTTGCATTCTGTCTGAATTCTGAATGATTCCCTGAATTTTTCTTCTAAAGATTTTTCATTTGCTGGTTGTGTGTTTGAGTGCACACATATGCATAGGGAAAGTTATAATCATATGTGCATATTTAATTTCTAAGATTCTATTCTCAGACTGTAACTTTTCAGAGCATCCTTTCTTATTTCTGATCTTGTAAGAGGAACAGTAAGCTACCTTGGGGCCAGTGGGTGGTGCTCATAGTTAGCTGAATGGTGGAAGGCAAAACTTTCCAAAGCCACCTTTGATCTCCTGGGTAACTGATGGGAAATAGGGAAAGGCTTGAGACTGGCAATTACAAACTACTGAGGCTTAGCAGTTAAATGGCTGTCAAGGAGGGCGTCCAGGAAAACCTGCTATCTATATTATAATGATGACAGGAATTTGCATCTTGTTACTTACAAGATGAAAAAGAAAACTAAAATGCCAGCATTCCATTGTATCATTTCAAGAAAAAGTGTATTCAGAAAGATAAACATACCTACATTCCTAACAATTAATGGAAATTTAAAGCGTATCAGTTAGTATCAAGGTTTTCCAAAATAATAAGTACAGTTTTTCTGTCTTCTTAATAATATAGTTATATAACAATGTTAAAGCTGTTGGACACTATAGGACTTGTCCACTCTTAGTTTATACCACTAAGACTTGATACTACTAGCTACAGATGGGTAACATCTTAGAGCAGATTTTAAGCATTATTAGTAAAAGAATTTAATTTGTGCATTATAAGCATTTGTTTTTTATTTTATTACAATACTAAGTGAACTCTTAATAGTACTAAATTTAGTTGTCTATGTCACAGCTTCGATTTGATAGGTGTTAACAGATTGAATAACTTCTAAAACATCTTGATTTATTTGAAAAGGCTAAATATATAGGAATCAGTCTTTAAATATGAAGAGATATTTATATCACATGGGATGTGAATTTTGTGAAATGTGTCAACAGTATCTTGAGTATCTTAACAGCCACCACAGAGGGCCCTTGTTCTGTATTATTTTATAATGTTTATAGGTTATTCATAATTCATAGATATTATTTTATTATAGATATTAAAGTATTGCTACCTTTGTCATTCCAGTGGTAATTATAATTTTGTTTTTGCAGTTTACAGTTTATGCCAATTTCCATTTTCCCCCTTATGTTTCTTTGTATTTAGTACTGATGTTTTGTAGTATTTCTTCTATGGCTTCAGTTAAATTCACATTTATAAAACTTCCAACTTATAATAAAACAAGTTTTTAAATTTAATGCAGGTTTACATAAGCAAATAAATGGTTGGGTATCTATTGAGTTACAACAGATACCTTTATCTTCAAGTTATAAAGGTAAAATATTCAATAGATTTCATATGATTCTAATTTTTTTTTGAAAAGTTCATTATATAGCAAGGGTGCATTTAATTATTTTGAAAGTTACTCTATTTACATGATCATATGCAATTTTTCATGTGGTTACTTTTTTTTCTTTAGTAGATGGGTCATATGAAAATTGTTTTTGGCTAAATCTTGGGAAATATGCAAAAAGAGAACCTGTTTGAAGAGAGAAAAGGAAGGAAGATACAAGTAGATGTAATTTTTTCTTTCTTCTAGGTCTAGGAAAAGATAAGGATTACATGGATGAATCAGAGCATGCTCATTATGACAGATCTCGGCTCATTAAAGACTTAGTTCCCAAAGATAATACTGAATCCAAGAAAAGATTGTCTAAGGTAATGTAAACTATTCTATAAATAAATCATTTGAAGACCATAACTTTTAAAACTTTCAGGTCCTTTTTAATGTTGATCTATAGTGTGCTGGAAAATATAAAAGGTAACACAGGTTAGTGTGCATCTTGTAACATTTGAAAGTATAAAGTATGGGAATATATCATATTCATTTACATTATCAAGCGGAATCTTACAAAAATCTGAAAAATAAAATTACTCAGTAATATTTCTTTATGGTCTTGCCTCGCATTTTTCATGTATTTTGAAAGGCTGGATGGTTAAATAAGTACATGGATTTTACTTATGAACCAATACATGAATTGTTTCTCTGCTTACTAGTTGTGAAAACCTGAACAGGTTAATTAAGCTAATTGAAAAATCATGTTTCTACTTGACAAATTTCTTTTATGACTACATGAGAAGACTATATGGGAGTATCTAGTTTTCTAGATGGCAGGTTAGGTTTTTATAACAACTTGGAGGTTAGGAATACCTCATAGTTGTGTTTAGTCAAGATATGTATGGATGATTGGCCTAGAATTCAATTTTTAAAACTCCTGGTTCTAGCAATCCCACCATCCTTCAAACAAATGATTTCATAAAATCTTCAGAGCTGTGGATGTGTCGTTCAGTATCAAACACCTTTTAATGCTTTCTATTCTGAACTGACTCAGTTCAAATTAACTCTTTTTCTTTGTTTTCTGCCTTTTAAAGTGTGGATGCCTTTGTGAAAGAAATTTGGATACTAAATGCAGTTTAACACAAGGAGTGACTTGTGCTGTCAGTTGTTACTACCTTGCTAGTAATCTCTCCCTTGCTTATCTCTCTCTTTGTGATGCTTGATTTTATGTGACTGTGACTTAAATTCATTTTGCAACCCCCTTTACCAGTGTAGTGGGGGAAGGAACAAGACATATTTTAAATGTTATCATCAAAGAGACCAAATTATATTATAAGAAAGTAAATTTACTTGTGGATTCTTTTTTTTTTTTTTTTTCATTTCGCTTAGCTTTTGTTTTAGCAAAGGGAGTGTTTGTGAGTCACGATTTGGTTCCAAGAATTCTTAGATTTTTCTTTAGAAATAAAAGATTTATTGTTCCATGTTCACCTGTCTGTTTGATTGACATGTGTATGATTTGTGTTTCTTGTACCTGTTGTTTATGATAAGTTAGTAAAGTAAAGCGTTATTCCATGTGGCCTGAAGAAAAAAGAAAAGTTACAAGAAAAATTTTAAAAGCAGGTGTTTTACCTTGTAATACAGCCTCATGGGAAGACAAATACAATATACTCCCAAGTAAATAGAAAAAGATCTAAAGTTGAATAAAATCTCTTATTACCTGCTTCTCTGTAATTTACCACATGTCTCCAATGATAATGCCACTTCATTTCTACTCAAAAATAGACATTTCCCAAATCTTACTAAGACTAAACTTAAATCATTTTATTTAAGTGATATTTATGTTTATATGTTAGGGGATATGTATTTTTAATTAAGTCTTATGAACTGACAATATTCTCCATTTGTGACCTATAAAATAGCAATTTTTATATAAGACCACATGCACATATAACACACACACAGTGGACTGAAATCTTGAAATTATATGCTTCACAGTTACTTTTCTTGGAATAATGGTATTGGTTGCAACCTTCCCCTTGCATATTATGATATTTTAACTGCAATGTAACTGATATTTTAGTGTTTTGCAATTGTTACTTCACTGCAAAGGGAAAGTTTTAGATAATGCAAAGTAAATTCATAAAAATTAAACAGGAAAGGATCACAAACTGAAGGGAAAGTGACTGCTAGTGTGAACTGCCTTGTCAGTAATAACCAGTAGTGGATTACAGAAAAAAAAAAAAAAAAAGTAAGGCTTTTGAACAAAATCTGTCATTAGCCTAAAGTTGTTCAAAGAACATAACTAAATTCTCCAAGGCTATGTCTCACATTGAATTTGTGGGGAATTTCTGTAAAACTTGTCAACTGTGAAAACAACTCTAGTAATCCTCTGACTAGTTTACCGAGCTCTGTTTGGGAATTCGATTTGTCCAAACATTTCCTGAATGATTTTGTATGAGAGTTAGGAAATTTTATTTGATCATGTACCTACTGCTTATGATAATTTAGTAAACTAAGAATACTTCTGAAGCATTTTAGTTTGTTTTAGAGTTAATGTTCAGAACAATGAAATGTACCTTTAGGTAGTTTGCTTCAAATCTTGAACTTTTTAGCATGTGTAATTTTTACCAAAATTCTTGATATTTTAGAAATTAAAATCATGTGATATTGATATCTAGTATGATGGAGTAATATTGATGAAATAGTGTTTTGTTTATTTATTTGATGTTGCTATGTGCAGCACTTGCCATTGTAAGAAATATTACTGAACAGAGAAATATACTACAAATACAGATAGGATTTGCTGTGAAGGTACTGGATTGCAGTTCAGTAGGTAAATAGAAATGGAGAAACTTACGAGGTTCTAGAAGTTAGAGAAAACAGTAACTCTGGGATAAGTCTTGATTTAGTTAGCTTCAAGCTTTACAATAAAAGCAGCTTTTAAGTATCGCAGAAGCAGAGCAGTAGATTTAAAAAAAGTGAATTAAAATAATAGTCTGTCTTCTTTCTTCTTGATATCCACTGTATTGTTAATGAGAATTTGCATCTCCTGTCATCAAAAGGAGGAAACTATTGGAATGCCCAGGGGTGTTACTTTGACCAACAGCTTTCTACAGAAAAGACAGTGTGTCCGTGTAGAATATTAGAAGTAAAAGATCTTGCACTCCCATTCTTTCTCTTTGGACTTCATCTTTACCATGTAAGCAAGTCAAAGTCACCTGCAGGAGAATGAGACCATTAAACCAGAGCCTGAGTGAACCCAGTCACCCCAACTGAGGCAGAGATGTGAGAGAACAGTAGCAACCCAGGAAACATACCCACCAGCTGAGGTCCTCAGGGGATCTTCCCAGGCACTAGGCATTTCACAGAAGCCTGAGCTAAATAGAGAAAAACATAAATGGTAAAGGCTAGCATGTTGGCTAATAAAAGTGATTGTTAATATAAAGTAAATTCCTTCCTTAGTGGAAATTTTACAAAATTTTCTGTGAGCTTTTTATGGCATACCAGTTAATTCTCTAGAGCTCAAGTATAGGTAAGTTATTTTTGAAATGAGCCTTTACTGATTTACCATTGCTTTACAGTACCATATAGGCTTAGGTAGAGTGTACGCTTTGATGTGCGTGTTAAGACATCCCACACTCACCACAAAAATTCTGGTAGCATCTTCTATCAAGTTAGCACATCTAGGGCCCTCCCTGTTGGTACATGGGGTTAAAGCACAGCACTGTGAAGGGAGGTGATCCACATGGGGTAGCAGACTTCTCCTCTCTTCCCTGCTTCTCTTCTCAGCAGTGGTACTTCCTTGAGCTATCTGGTATGCTCCCCACTCTGTCTCTGGTGAATCCTCTCATCACTCCTGCTCCTCTGACCTGTACCCCAGTTCTGTATACATAAATCCTTAAAAAAAAAGTTATTCCATCTACCTTGTGCACCTTCCTCTCACCCATTCCACCACATCCCCGTCCCCTCTTGTAACTACCATATAAAACCGAGTCATTTTTACTGTTTTTATTGATTCATTTGCTTCATTTATTTGTTGCCCACATGATTGAAATTGTCCAGTAATTGTCTCCCGCTTTCTGATATATTTAGCTTAGTATAATCGCCTTCAATTTTCATTCACGTTGTTATAATAACAAGATTTCATCTTTATGAACTGAGTAACATTCCATTGTGTGTGTGTGGAGGTGTGTGTGTATCATTTTCTCTTTATCGAATTGTCCATAATGGGCCTTTAAGTTATTCTGAAGTCTTGGCTGTGGTGAATAATGCTTCTATAAACATAGAGCACACATATCTTTTCAAGTATGTATTTTCATTTTATTTGTATAAATACATGTAGTGATATTGTTGGATAATGTGGTATTTCTGTTTTTTTTTTTAAGGTATTTCTATTATTTGCATAGATGTACCAATTTATATTTCCACCAACAGTGTACAATAATTCCTTTTCTCAACACCAACACCAAATATATTTTAAAAGTCATTACCTAAATCACATATTATGCAGGCAACCAATCTAAAACTTTCTGAAATCATTTCCTTTAGTACAAAGCTCTGTTCTTAAAAGTACTTTCTTCATGATAGTATTACATCAGGGTAGGATTTAATGACTTTCAACTATAAGTGTATATTTAGCTGCAAGCACCCATACATATTATAAATTGGTAAATAGTTAATTTTTTATTATTGTGACTATGACTGAAACGTATTTTTTATTAGTTTGTATTATTATTTGTATGTTAGAAGAATAAATTTCCCCCTTCAGGGTCTTATTGCCATACTAAACCCACCATAAAAATACTCACAGTCTACCACCATTGTCAATTGTGCATCTTCCCCCACTTCATTCTTGGCCTTTTGCTTCCCCCTACCCCTTTGAATTATCCCAGTTCTATAGTCAGCTTTCTAGTGTTAGTTTGGGTTTATCTGACCCTTTGTTTGGTTTCTTTGTATTCTACATATAAGTGACACCATGTGCTATTTGTCTTTCTTCTTATAATTTATCTCACTTAGCATAATCTCCAGTTCCATCCATGTTGCCACAAATGGTAGGAGTTTATCCATTGTGTATTAATCACATCTTCTTAATTCATTCATCTCTTGTTGGGCTTTTAGATGGTTTCCATTGTTTGGCTATTGCAAATAATGTTGCAGTGAACATGGGAGTTCATGTTGTCTTTATATTATCATTTTTGTATTTTGAGGGTAGATAACTAGTAATGGAATTTCTGAATCTTGTGGGAGATCTGTTTTAATATTTCAGGAAACTTCCACACTGTTTTTCATAAGAGTTGAACCAGTCTACATTTCCACCAAGAGCTCAGAAAGGTTTCTTTGTCTTCACATCCTTGCCAGCACTTGTTGTTACTGGTCTTTT